AAAATTAAAAAAATAAAGGACATTTAAAAACCTTCTTTAGAATTAGAGTTTCAATACCTGCAGACAATAGGAGAGTATGGCCTAACAGTGCCCCTCTGGCAAAACCCAGTGACTTCTAAGTCCATGCAGCTTAGCTTCTGATTCTGAGGGCAAGTTGACACTACTAAGCCTTTAGGGATCTATTCAAGACCCCCTTTTACAGATCAAGGACTTACCCTAGGGAACTTTCAGGGTAGAAATAGCATCTCCAGCTACCACTGATTATCCTTTTCTCTAGAACTCTCTGGAAATTTCATACCTTCTACCTTTCCTCAGTCCTCATCTTCATTTGTGTCTTTAGAATTTGTCCTCTTCTTGCCCTTTTTCAGCAGCCTGACAGCCTCTCCAAGCTGACCAGAAGTGTGGCTTGGGAAAGTTCCAGGAACAGCTGTAAGATGGTCTGTCTCAACATGGTGTCCTTTCCCTCAACTTGACCTTTCTCTCCTATAGCCTCCCATTTCCCCCCACAGTCTTATTGAAGTTGGTTTTGTAGGATTGCATCAGCAGGATTCCTATACATTCTCTTAACCATTAATAGGTTTCCTCCCAAAGGCAGCCCTGAGGGCATTACCCCCTATATTAGAGCTAAAAATGTGAAACACTAGGCTTGTGGAAAGCAGGGCTTAATTCCATTTTTATTTTAGGAATCGATTCAATGCCATTTTCATTCTTTCTGACCAGTAAACCACCATGGCGGTTTGCCTTCAGGGAGAGAGTAGTTCAAAGTGGATTACAAAGGAGGAGAAATGTGTCCTCTAGTCTTGTACAGAAAACCAAGGAACTTGCCTGGGCACGTCCTTAATGATTCCCATGAGTCATAGCTCTGACTACCTCAGTAGCCAGGTGGTAAGAATCCCAGACTTGATGTTTAAGTTTTTATATCTGCAATTGTGTACATCCCAGTTACCGTCTTTTGCCCGCTTTATTAGTCCTACATACAACACTAGTGGATTGTAACTACCCCAATCTAGTGATGATTTTCTTACTTTCCAAATCTTAATAAAAATGAAAGTTCTAGTCATGAGTCATCATAATACCTTTTGATACCATGATGGTTTTCCTCATTCCAGAGGATCCGGATTGTGTCTTGTGTTTTTAAAAAGGGAACTTTATGCACCAGAAAACCACACAATGACTAGGGATGATAGAAGGAAAATTAATGCCTTTGAGCTGTGGTGCTGGAGAACAGTGTTGACTATACCATGGATTGCTAGGAGAACAAACAGGTTCATCCTAGAGAGAGTGAAACCAGGCCGCTCCTTGGAGGCAAGGACATTGACATGCTTCATCTGACATACTTTGGGCATGTTGCAAGGAGGGACTGGTACTTGGAAAGGGACATCATGCTTGGGAGGGTGGAGGGACAGCTCAGGAAAGGAAGACTCTCAATGAGATGGATTGATTTAGTGACTGGGTTAATGGGAGTAGGTGTCGGAGATGAAGAGGTGGGCTCAGGATAGAGCAGGATTCAGAGCTGTTGTACATAGGGTCACTAATGAGTCACAAGTGACTCGATGACAATTAAACTATAGAATAAGTTTTAATCTGAGCTGTTATTTTTCCCTAGAACAACCCAAGAGCTCCATGTTCTCAGTCAGCCTCCTGCTACATACATACTCTCCACAAGTCTCTCCAAATAAACATTCAATATAAGGAAGAACAGTTCCTGCTATACAAATGGCTTCTAGAGGTTTCTGACAAAACTGCTATCCTTGGGCTCCTCTAAGAGAAGAATTCTGGGACCTGGTGCAGCTGAGTGACTGCATTCCAGGAGAGGATATGAGAAAGCCTCAGCTATCACATTGAGCAGCCTCTATCCTGGATAATTCTCAAGATAGAGTTCCTGAATATATTTTGTGGGTCATTAAGAAAACAAAAATCTAAAACAACTATGAGATATCATCTCACCCCAGTCAAAATAGCAAAATTTAACAGAACAGCAAACAACAAATGCTGGCGAGGTTGTGGAGAAACTGGAACCCTGATTCACTGTTGGTGAGAGTGTAAAATGGTGCAACCCCTGTGGAAAGCGGTATGGCGCTT